CCGCAATTTAACCTTCTTTTAGCGTTGTTTTGGTCACGCTTCATCAGAAAACAACATTGTTGATCATGCTGAGAACATTGAGGTGTCACGCTGGTTTCCCTGTGGCGAATTCCAAGAACTCATGAATATTTCAGTAATGAAAGTACGACAAAATCTACTTTCTCCATCCTTTCAAGTAATTCTGTTTGTTTTAATTCTTGTTCTGTGTTTCAATGCCATAAAAAATAAATCCGGTGATCAAAGCCGTAACTTCACTACCGTTTATTGCTTCTTCGTTGCAATTAACGAAGAGACGGCGTCCCCCCTTTTGACAATTTTCTAGTTTCATGAATTGAATTACACAACATTTACTTTGCACGCTCCTAACCCTTGATTATTTTTCTTAGCCTTCATGTAGATTAATTTCATTCTATTTACGCTAACACCTGAACATATTGATTTCACGAAAGGATACTTATGCATTGCCTTCTTCGTTACGTTGCCAAGTCGAAACAGAATATGTCCCATCAAAGTACTCTTTCCAGCATCAACATGCCCTGTACGATACAACCAGAATGCAAAACTCCACAAAAGAATAGAACAGAACATTGTAAAATGGAGGCGAGGACTAAAGAAAAAATGTCAAGCAGCCAATGAAGAGGCAGCGTGTTTAGTAGAAGAAGAACAAAACAAACAACCTTCCTCCCCCGAAAATAAAACTCATTTCGTTCTGATCGACTTCAAGAAAAGTGGAACCTTATTGTACCTGACCCCAGGAGGATCACTGGAACTTCTTATATACAGGGGTGTCCATCTAATAATAACGGGTAAGAATTTTCCTTGTGATTGTGTACCTGATTTGGGTACCTGAAAAGGGAACAAGCTAACAGATGTGTTTAAACTGATTATTATAGGAACCGGTCTAAAAAAATCATGAATATTTTTGACATTACTGGGTCTAATCAACACTTTTTAGCTGATAATTTTGGGTCTGTTGAATAGAGTTGTCAAGTGATGAAGTCATAAAAATCTATTTTTAGAATTTTTGAAGTTTTTTCCCATAACCTGAAAGATCATCATGAAATACTTCTAAATATGCAAAGTCAGTTAAAGGCAATACGAATTGGCTGAGATATGACCAGATGAGTACAAGCTCTGGCCCCATCAAACCTCTGTAATTTGGTCTCAGTTCACAACTTTATGAACTGAGCCGAAATAACAGTAATCCGTTAGCAAACTTCAAATCTTCTATTGGCCATAGCTCACCCGATTTTTGCAAATTTAACTGATTTTGTATATATGTGAGTATGATGTTCTTTCATGTTATATGGTCAAAATTCGAAAATTCTAAAAATAGTTTTTTGTGACGTCATACTTGAGAACTCTATTTGTTTTTTGATACTTTTAGGTGAAATTTGACAGCTGCAGATGGACCTCCCCGTAAATAAAAAGTTGGTGTGACTCCCCTGGGTACCGGATGCTTAAGGAGACATAATTACTAAAAGCTCTAAGGAGAGTCCTTTGGAGAATTACTTGTACAAGTTTTGTCACATCACATCGACTTTCGAAAATTCAAAAAGGAAACCGAGGAGGCTGAATGTAATATGATAAAATATATATGATAAAATTACATATGATGAAATTATATATGATAACAGGATTTATGGTAATATAATAATAGTCCGTAATATGAAGTGCATCTTTTATGGATCTTTCTAGTTCTAGTCTAAAAGATGCACATTATATATTCGGAGGTATAGTTGCAGCTGTATTATCAATGCACAATTTTTAACTTTTTACATAAAACTATTAATACAAAATATTTCCATAAAACTGGTTACAACCGAGCCATGAAATTAGGCCTGGCTTCAAAGTAGATTATACAATATTGAAATCATATTCGCATTTGGCAAAGTTTTGCAATGTGCAGCAAGGTTAATACGACAGTACATGCACTATCGTACATCGTATTTAAAAAAATTTCAATTTGGAGCACATACCAAAGGCAGTTTGATAAAAGTTTCTTGTCATAAACCGGGTGAAAACAATAGGCGTAAGAGACATCGGGATTGGCAGGGCTGTATCCAACTCATCAGTAAAAATTTCTCGCATTTTATGCTCCATTCGGATAGAGATTTATCTCAATGAAGTAATAATATTCGGGAAGATATATACTAACGCCTCTCACCCCCCCTTCCCCCCTAGAAACATTTAGAGCCCACTACACCGGGGATTGGCAATCAATGCTGAAAAGGAGACCACAACAGAAATATGAAATGTGTTTTAGAGCTGAACCATCGAGAACCTTATTATGTGCAATCTTCGTATTCTCCCAATGTGAAATGCTATGAATTATATTTTATTTCAACTGCCACCGGTAACCAGATAAATGGAGTAAATATCTTAAAAAATATATAGAATTGTGGTGTAGGTAAAGTGGGAAAGTACTCCTACAAAAATTCATGTTCTGATTGCCCACATCCTCATTCGGGCCGAAACGTCGAAAGGGACGGATGTGACCCACCGGCCATAAGTTGCCCAGGTCTGTGCTATACCCATGATAAAACATACCTATGACAACCAGATTGAGAAGATCCTTGCCATCCTGTCTTTTCTTATATTCTTCTTCAATATTCATAGTCTACAGAAAGAGTGAATAGCAAAGCATAAGTCCTAATCTTGTCTATAAACCAGTCCGGAATTACAGAATCTGAATATCAAGAGCAGAAGCACCCATTTATGATTGCATATAATCGGATTTTGACAAAAGATACTAGAAATTTTAAAGAATTTCCAGGCGTTTTTATGTCGTGCCTGAAGTTACATAAAATATTTTGGGAACTTTATTCCACAAAATCGTCGTTTTAAGAATTTCTTAAGAGTTTCTTGATAATGATGTCATTTATTTTTACATTCAGGTTTCTTTATTAAATTTTTCATGCTAGGAAATTTTCATACAGAAACTTTCTAGGGAAGGTTTTCGTATTTGCAGTGGTGCCCATGCTGGTAACAATTCTGCCAAGATAGTTGGTTCCCTTTTACTGCTGTTCTAAGATAAGCAAAATATATTTTTATCCTAAATTTATAGGTTGATGCAAACCAACCAATCATATCGACGGATTTTCATGAAATTGCGGAGTTTTGGGCTTTTAAAAATTTAATCGCATTATTCATGACGAAGCACTGTGCCGGGTCAATCTGCTTTTATTTAAAGGTGTTTAGGGAAACAAAGTGTGGCTTTCGTACCAAATGTAAGAAAGGGGTTAAAAATCTGTTGAAAGTATACGGACAGATGATATAGTAGGCAACACAGTCCTGCTACATTACTTTTGGAGTATCACCTCTATAGAGTAAAATAATTCAGTTTACAAATTACTTACGTCTCTCGCCTTTACTGGCGTTCTTCTGCTTGCAACTGGCGTTGTTGTCACTGAAGATGGTGCTGAACGTCGATCCTCGGCTTGTGAGTAGAAGTCAGTGGGCGACTTCTCCTTGACTTCGAGTAAATTTGTTGCCTTGTTTTGAGGCGAATCTGTAGAGCTGAATTTCCTTCGCGATTTCGGAGACGCTGGTCTAAAAGTATCGTTACAGTTACATTGGTATCCGCTTGCAATAACAAATAAATTGACGAATGCAACGAAAGTTGAATCAATCATAGTTATGAATCAATCGATTACACCCCGAAATTCGAAACGACATTATTCCTTTTTGTCGTTTCAAGCTCGTAGAAAGAATTCGAAAAAGCAATCATAAAACGAATATCAGCTAACGGTTCCAATGAGACATTTACATCGACGATTTCAAGGATAAAAAAGCTGCTAAATATAAACAAATAAAGCAAGTCAAAAGCCTTTAATTTTTCTTTGACTTCCAGTTAGAGCATCATCATATGTCGTAAGCAAAACAAAACAAACATACAAACTTTGATTTCAACGCCATGATAACAAAAAGTAACTTATAGAAAAGTTGCTCTGTAAAGTTAACTAAGGAAAGCAAATATTGGTAGTCCAAATTACGCTATAGTAACTGATAGTAACCTCAAATTACCCTGGTAAAAAACTTCAACCAGTGGCAGTAACTTTTAGCTACCCTTGAAAAGCTTAGTAACCCAGAAAAGTTGATGACACAAGTAGTAACCTCAATTTACCCTGGTAAACCTGGCAACCCAGAACTATCAATGACAAATGGCAATAGCTTTAAGTGTACCAGAAAATGCCATGACACTGGTAACAATCTTAAATTACCCTGGTAACTTTCGGCATTCCAGGGTAGGCCATCACAAATAGCAGTAACTTTTAACTAACCTAGAAAAGCTTAGTAATCCAGGAAAGGCTATGACACTGGTAGTAACCTCTCATTACTACGGTAAACTCGGCAACCCAGAGTAGGCCATCACAAATAGCAGTAGCTTTTAATTAACATAGAAAAGCTCAGTAACTATGAAAAGTTGATGACATTTGTAATAACCTAAAATGACCCTTTTAAATTCGGAAAACCAGGATAGGCATAACAAGTGGCTGAGGCTTTTAATTGCTTATAAAAAGCTTAGTAACTCGGATACGGGCATGATACTAGTAGTTTTTTTGAGTAACCCCGGTAAAACTTGTTAACGCTGAATAGTCTATATGACAACTAGAAGGAACATAAAACTGCTACATTGAAAAATCGTGGTAACGATGATTGAAAACAGGGAGTTATTTCCAATAAAGGTATCAACGGTGGTATTTAAGTTTAATATGTTCCTACATATGAATTTCTCATATTTCGTTCCCTCATCTTAAATAAAAAGCAATAAGTATTGATCTATGGAAGATGCACAATTGCAAGACACAATTCAAGTATACATACAGGCTTATTGACCTCTTGTACGAATCGTTTCCAGACGCTGGCTTTGATGGTAACACGTTGTCGTAGTGGTAATTCAAAGTTAAACCACCAACAGGGAGTTCTGAAACTCTATCCCATTTATCGCCATAATCACTTCTAGTTTTCGTATCTGAAACGAAGGACTTGATTGCAATAGACAAGAAAACAGCATTGTTAACCCTTAAAGAGGTTGGCATTCGACAGTGAAACACCTACGCCCCTCCCCCCCACCTGTAACAGGAATAGCCTTCTCTAATATGATTGGACAATTTAGTATCCGAAGTCTCGTTTTCGTGTGTAATTAAATGAATGAACCTATCACATTTTCTTAGCCTTGTTTGTATATTATTATATAGTGAGTTATTTTACATGAAAAGGGAGTTGTTGACGAGATGGCAAAAGCGTAACAAGAGCGTCTTTTTATGCATCTCGATTCTCCGAGGGAAACCTCTCACACACCTAACTGCCCACTTTCGACATCAGCACGGCTTTTTTGCAAGAAAGCGTTCTTCACGAAGAAGAAGCTTCCCCTTTCCTATAATAAAATTGTTGATAAATATGTCGTCTGTATTACTTGGATAACTGAAATTCTGGTCAAGCGAAAGTTACGGTAAATATGGCCACCATCTTTGAAAAATCATTGCATCACAGGCAGGGACGGTGGGCCAAGATATTAACATTATCAGTCTTATTCCAAACTTTGTCAAATATCATAAAAAAAAGACATTTATCAGTAAGATCACAAGACGTTCTTAATTTAGTCTTTGAAAAAATCTCGAGAAGTTGCCGTCCTACGTTACATTTAGCACGGCATTTTCTTGCCGATACAAATTCAACTTTCGTCAAGGGCCGGGTGTTTTCCTGTATAAAAAATTGGATGTCTAAAGTTGGTGTTTCGATTAGGGAAAGAAGTAAATCAATTCAAGAGCTGTTTTATAGAAGAAACAAAAACAAGGAGTAGAGTGTACCAAAAAATGGGGAAGAGGGGGTCTTGAGGACTTAAAAACAAAGAGCTTTGGTGGAAACTTAGGGCAACCTTTGAGAATGTTGGAAATAGTAAGCAAGGCAATTCGAAAATATATAAAAGAAAATGGCTTGAGATTTTCAGGGAAAAAAGGAAGGACATCTTCCATGCTAGAATCGCAAGAATACTACAAATCAATAAAAAGCATATGGTAGGAATGGGTTTAGTAAATAGAAGAACAAATTTCACAAATTCAGGGAAGGACTGGAATGAAAATAACAATAATTATAATAAAATAGATAAGACAAACAACCCTGACTTTCCGCTAACATTATGAACTGTAACAAGCGAATTCTTTTGTGCACTGATTTTACCACACGGATAGTCATAACCAAAAGTGTACTCAAGTTTCAGTCTTCTTGTATGCTTGATTGCATGGCTGTAACTTTGATCGATGGATCTCTGTTTAAACTGACACCAGGCTTTGTAACAAGAGCTTATTAAGCCCCCCTCTCTATTAACACCCCCCCTCCTTAGTCATTGTTGCTAAACACAGGAAACATGCGCATTTAGTGGGAAACATGCGGATGTGATGATCTTATCATGTGCATTAAATACAGCCCATGTAGCGACTTACTTGTGCGCCTTAGAATTTAGTCGAAATTAGTTTAGAAGATATTCCAGGGGTCTTAAATGATCCTGGTGACTACTGACAAGATGAGGACATCAAAATTGATTAAATCTTAAGAAACTTTTGAAGCTTCTAGGAAAGTTTTTTTGAGAACATTTGTATGCATTTGTATAAGAAAAATTTTTATAACATTCTTTACTTCGAATTATTAACAAGCCCCCTCTCTCTCACAAGCCCCCCTCCGGGACTGAAAAAATAAATATGCCCCCCCCCCGGGGATTAATAGAGCTTTTACGGTATTCCTCTCTACAAACATAGGCGTAGAAGACGTAGCGGCTGCAGACTGCAGCAACCACCCCGCAAAATCAGGCAAAATTATAAGAAATTCACCCCCATTCGGGCAGTTTTAACCAAATAAAGCAATAAAATTCGGGCAAGACCAATACTACGCCTCCCATCCCCCCCCCCAATTTTTAGCTCATGAGGCATCAAATAAAGACATCAAACAACTGAGGCATCAAATAAAGGCAGTTCAACCGATGTCAGGATTCACTTTGGTACTCACAGATGTCTGCCAGAAATATGTTACTGGAAAAAAATATTTCTTATTTATATTTAATATTTATTATTGAAGAAAGAAGCAAAAAATCTAAAATGCCTCAGATTTTATGCTGTGAGGAATTCTCTTGAAAAGTAATGACAATGTTAGTGTTCTAATTTCCGTTGTATTTAATCTATACAGTGTTTATAGAAGACCGTTCAGAACAGAGGGCTTATTCGCTGAAATAGACGAAGGGTATTGATTGGATGAAGGGATTTCTAACAGGGGATGATAAAACGGAAGAAAAGGACCAAAAATACGCATTTACAGTAGTTCTTTAGTATGATCGGAAGAAAATCGCCATATATCGAAAACTTGTTGACAATGAGGGTGCTGACCTTAGGTTGCCGTGTAATTTGTTATATATAAAATGAAATGGCTAAACGAACGTCCCTTTATGTCAACCCCGAGAGTACAACAAAAGCCTTCAAATCTACTTATGTTGGGGTACATATTTAGCATTAAAAGCGAACCCTTACTTCTTTATCATGAAATTTAATCACGTTTAATACGTTACAGGGTTCACCTTTTCGGTGCCCCTTGGTCTTCTCTTTCGGCACATATAGCATGATTGTAGAGTTTGTGTTTATTGTAGCAGTGGTCGAGTATGCATTACATTGTGTCTTTTATACGGCCAAAGCAACAGGCGTGCAATTGTGCATTGGCCTTGAGTACATAAACTTTATGCTGGCATATGTTTCTTCCTCACACGTTGCAAGACAACCTGAAATTGGACTGTGGAGAGCAAAGGTTCTTTCTTGCAACCCTGCCGGCCTAACCCATGTCTTAGTACTTTCCGGTTTTTTAATACAATGTTAACCTTCTACTTGTTTTCTTCGTGCATTAGTTAATGATCCAATGGCTTGCAATCTTTGCATGAACAATGATTGCTAGTCGGCGGATAAAGTCGGCCATTGTTTCTTTCTCTCAACCCTCTTCAAAAACGGTTGGGATTTTATTTATGGCCGTCTTTGCGATTGGCGCACCGACAGCCCAAAATTAAGGGTCCAAATGAGGAGAGAATACCACCTTCAGTCTTATGATGGATAATAGTAAAATATTCTGAGGACTATCTTACCCTTAGTTGCTGACGGTTCTTTATGGTAAACTTGAACAAATATTAATTGTTTAATATTCTATGATCCAGACACATAAATAAAGCATAGAATGGACCCGCTTCATCTCAATACCAATGGTTTATAAAAATTTGTTCGTTTTTTTAGCTTTTCGGAACAGTTCGGCTCCTGCATAAGATCCACAGTGATGCCCTAAAGATTTTTTGTTGGTTATTTGCACATCAGATAAACATGCGATATAGAGCAACCTAGTACATAACTCCAATTTTTCAATTAAATTACAGGGTTGGGAAGGCAAGTAATACAACTTAGTTTATGTTACATTTTTGCACAACTATTTACAGCTTCTGTAAAATGACAAGTTTTAACATCTTTTACAAATATAAAAGGAAAAGAACAAAAATATTTAAATGACAATGATAATCAAGTCAATGTATGTGCTAACTTAAATTAACAGAAAAAACGGTTTCCTCGAAATACACATGCGATGATTGTAAAGCTTTTATTCAACAGCTTCATTGCCTTAGTATTTGTCTTCATCAAAATGACGTTAAGACGGGCACAAAGCATTTTGAAACTTCAGATCTTACGGCTTTGTTGAAGTAACTGCTTGTTGCAAAACTAATAGTTGAATGAAGAGAACATGGAATTGACCAGACTTCAGTGCTTTCATATCTAATGACAACTTTCCTACCTTTGATGCACGCCAGAGAAAACACTTCTTGGAGCACAGCAATTGTTTATTACGACACAGCGGTGTTTACCAAAGAAACAAGCATTTCAGCCTGCATTTCAAGACACGACAGGATATGCCTTTCTCTGTGATCCAAACCCCATGCTACCTTTAGCCTTAAAAGCGTTATTCTGCTTTGATCTGACAATATCATCCGGAGACGGAGTGGAAAAATTAAAGAACGAAGGCTTCTGTGTGTCTCTGAAGATCGATTTCAAATCATTAACATAGGGTAATGTAAACAAAGTTACTGTTTTATCTACTCTTGGTATTTTGCTTGAAGGTGCACATTGCGAGCCCAGGGCTTTGCCGAACGCACTTGATTGTCGCTTTAGACCAAATCTCTTGATTGGTGGTAAATTTTCTTCCAAAGGTGAGTTTGCATGAAAAGTTTTAGAATGATCGCTAAAACCTTGTGTCGAATCCTGTGTGTGTAAATGTATTTGGTGGCATTTAGTGAGTTTTTTAACCGACTTCTCAAGTGAAAGTGGGAACGTCATATCCCAGTCCATGGGCTGTTCTATTGCATTTGTTGGACCTGACGAGTCAATCAACGCATTCGCTTGCTTTGCGGATAATGCTTGTCTTGTTAGACCTGGCGGTGGCTTTGGTACGCTCGTTTGCGATTGGATGGTTTGAGCGTCAGTCTCTAGTGATGAATCTCTTTTTGATTCAGAAGCTGCTGAAATGGTATTTATATTTGTGACGTCATTCTGAAGGCTGCTCATACATACATCGTTTTGCTGTTTTTTAGAGGGATCCTGTAGAATGAGCTCGTCAATCATATCCCTACCTTTAGCTTCTTTGCCAGCAATTAAACCATTTTTCAAAGGGAAAATACCTGCTGTTTTCGCCTGTCTGGATCCAAACGACTGTAGATCATTTGAGGCAAGCTCACTTAGCGATGGGCTGCTCCCTTCCTGTTCCGTCATGCTTCTACTAGACTCTAATGAAGAGGTTCCATGCGATCCTTCAGTAGCGTCCGCTCGATCTTTGTTTAGGGACACAGGTCCTTGTTTTACCTTTACGGTATCTAGCAGTGTCGGGGCCCCTAATGTGCCTAAAGATGTTTTCATGAGAGCATTTAAATCATGTGAATTAGTCTTTTGCGAATCTTCCGATCTAAAAGAGGCTGTATTGTTGCTTTTAAACACACTTTGGCTTCCTCTCAGGGATTCTCCAGAAATATAATTAGGAAAATTGCTCAATTTGTGCTGATTTTCCCCCAATTTGTCTCCCAGCTTTCCCACGGTGATTGGGGTTTTACAATGACGCTTGATATGTTCCAGCTCACCTCCAATCAAGCTTGAATTGTTCAATAACTGTAAATTTCCTGTTATTTCATGTGATTTTCTTTCAGTAGCAACAGCATTGGGACTTGATATCAAACTCCCATGGTTATCGGATCCTTGTGCCTTTCCTAACTGCGCGGCCCCGAGGGATTTTAATGAGGATTTCATCAAACTGCTGAGATCCCTTGACGCTGGTTCTTGCGCCGTCATAAGGGAAGATAGAGAAGAAGTTTCTTTTGCTTGTTTTGAATCGCCCAGCTTACTAAGTGAAGCTCTCATAAGACTTTCGAGACCTTGGCTACTTGCATGAGAGGAACCTAAGCTATTAACTGGTGGCGTCCTGATACTTCCAGCATTACTACAACTTATGTCGTTCAAGGTTTTGAGAGATGGTTGTAAAACACACTCGGGTCGCTGTGGCTTTAAGAGACTTTCTGTCTGAGTCGAATTCAGATTTTCTGAAGATGTTGCTAATCCTGCGACAGAACCATTCCCCTTCGTTTCAATATTCTGTCCCAAAACCAGTGAACTTAAGGACTGCTTCAAAAGCTGTGGGGAAGACTTTAAACTCTCTAGCGATGATCGTTTGCACTCGCTTGGGGACTGTCGAATGCCAATGTTCAATCCTCCGGCTTCCTTTGCATCCAACGTTGCCAACGAACTGAGGGTTGATTTCATTAACTTTGGCATTTGAACCGGTTTTTCGTTACCTGCAGACCCTGGTGTGGTTAGAATTGACTTGCCGTTTTCTAGTTTCCAGTTTTTCAACGAGGTTAAGAGTGATGCATCTGCCGCAAGTGCAATTACTTCACAATCAATGGGACGGTTTATTATGTAACCATTCGCAAGCTGTCCTAACTGGCCCCTTGTTAGGGCAGCCGACTTTGTGCCTATGCTTCTTTCTGGCATACTTTTGTGAAAATTATTGTTATAAGCTTTGTTATTTGCCTTCAGCGAGCGCTTAGCCTTAAAGGGAGATGATACTGATTGACACGTGTCATTATTTATAATAGAAATTGTTAAATCTTACCTTATTCGGTGCCAATGATGAGAAGAGACAAAGCCATTATGAAAAGAAACGGAAGGCAACCAATTACTTATAGGCAAGGTAAAAAGTTTTACTACAGAATTGTTATACTTGAAGAAATAAAGCTTTTGGAATATTATCAAAAAAGTGATGTTTTGATGGATTTTGACAATATCTAGTTATTCCCATCTTCTGTTTCACTTTGTACCTTAACGTTTCCCATACATATCTCTACGTAATTCTATATAAAATGGAATCCAACTATTACAAACCCTACTTATTATGGACTTTCCGCTATTACACTACATATAAAAAGGCTGGTACTAGATCTAACGAGCTCACGCTAGTAAAAGCTTTATTATTGGTCTATTGCAAAATGGCGAGATTCCACTGCATAAACCCTAATCAGTCACAGCTCAACTTTGAAAAATAATCCTTGTAGAAACATCAATAAACGCAAAAGTATCAATTCGATCAACAGTGATGACAACTAAACAAGAACATCTTCTATCTCTTTTCTCGCTTTTCACGCTATAAACTTGGTCTAAACATTTCCTATTGTAGAGTTTGCGATCTATGTTCTGATGTTTTATACTCTAAAGAGTGTCAGACGAGTTTCCTTTTTTTCAAAGCCAGTTTCAAAGCCTTGGAATTCTATCAAATAAAATGATTGCTTGCAACTTCCTATCATGCTCACCTTTTTTCTTTGTACTTGATGAAGGGCCTGAACTCAATGTCTGACGTCCACCTGATGAAAAGACAACTTCTGATCAGTGAAAATTCAAAACAACAGTTTACAGCAAAGGGTCCTCTACCGAAATCACAAAGAACGACTTAAGTGAATGGAAATTGAACAGTATATATTAGTTCACTAAACAGGAAAATTTAAGAAAACACGTTGTTATCTTAAAAGTTGGACGATATTTATCAAATTGCTTCAAAGCGAGGAAGCAGAAGTGGTAGATTCCATAAACAATAAGCAGGAAATATTCATTGTGTTAAAAACTAAAAGGTTGGTCATGGAAGACCTCAATCACAAATGCACATATTTTGCAACGGTTTATTCTTTTACGTGCATAATAATAATAATAATCTTTGATATTCATACAGGTTAATTTGTTCAGTAAGTAAATTACTGTTTGTTACCAAAGACCTGTATGTTACAAAGTAAAGTTTACAAACGTAAAGGTTAAAAATTTACCCAGATAAAAGCTGAAATATTTACAGGATTAAAATTACAAGAAAATGACTAAAAATCAAAGTTTGTGTCCTTGCTGGATGCTTTGAATCTCAAAAATGATGCTTCATTTTGCAAGTTATTGGGTAGGTTATTATTGAAAACCTTCCTACTCTTCTCTATTTCCTGATTTTAACAACTCTTTCAGAATATTTTAAAAGCTTTAAACATTTTGTTGCAGAAATTTTATTTAAACTGGGAAATTAGGTGCCTGAACTTTAAAGGCATTGAGCCATGGTAAATAGGCCTTCCTTCTAGGGGGTTATTTGTTTTCGGGTAGATCTGCAGTCCCATGTGATATTGGCATTCATTGTTGACAACTTGCTATTAATAGAAACTGTTTTGTGTATCAGTACAAAGTGAATTCATTTGACCAGTTCCAGATCAACCTATATTTGTCATGACGCAATGCCTTTAAGAACATCGCTACCAAAGGACACCCTGCATAAATCTTAATATGTGTATATCAAGTTCACTTTGCTGCTTGAAGCAACAAGAACATCAATTCTCAATCAGAGTATAGAAATATGTTCATATGCTGTTGAAACTTTCCTAAGGAAACACAGCAAATACAGTTTGAGTGTTGTATTTAAATCTATTGTACTTTAAATGCCCTTCCTTGCGCTCCTTCGATGTGTGAAAGCCACACTTCTCCTAGACTCCTTTCAATAAGAGAGAAATTTAGTACCTCTGCTTAAGATGTCATCAAGAGCCTTCTCTACGTCATAGTTGAACTTCATCAGCGCATTAACTGCAGTTGGCTGGTGACAATTATCACCCAATATTCCTTCTAGTGCTTCAAGACCAGATTGTAACTTGGCTAGAAGAAAACAACAATACATTCTCAGTAAAACAGTGGCACCAAAGAGCAGGATTTAATCTGTGCCAGTTAGGCAAACTTGAATCGAAGAGTAGAACTTTCGAAATGGCTCTTGAATACAAGAAAATTAAATACAATTTTAACACAACCTCTGCAATCAACCTTGACAAAGTAATCAACAGATACCAAAGGCACTCAATATATCTTGCAATCGAACATTGACCAAGACCAGTGTGTGTAACTTCACTTGATGCTTCTTGATTGGCTAATTTTGATTTAAAGATGGCCTACGCCACTTTTATATATTTTGATTGCCTTTAAGTACAAAAATAGCACGGCTTTTGCAATGTACGAAGAATGTGGAGGAATGGTACTTCGATATTATGAATTGGCGATATGGACAAAACTGATGATGATGATGATTGATGTTGATGATGATGATGATGATGATGATGATGATGATGATGATGATGATGATGATGATGATGATGATTGATGATGACTGATGATTATGATGATGATTGATGATTATGATTATGATGATGATCGATGATGATTATGATAACAACGATGACAATGATGACGACAACGAAGATTCCAAATGTGTTAAAAGTTTGAACTTTTCTAGATGCGCTTCCAGTCTGTTTCCCAGACAACTAAGAGCCTTTATGTTTTATGAAAATGCCTAAAAAACGGCGGCACAAGCTATGGCGCAGCAACTTTACACAACTCATATATTGGGGCTCTGTGAGTGGGACCTAACTGGGATTTTGTTTTTTTGATATGACGAAGAACTATTTTTGGCTTCATAACATAACACAAAAAATTATTTTTATTCGGTTTCTTCTCAAAATGCGTTTCGCATATTTACAGTTTCTTGATAAACGGCGGGAACTGCTATGACGCAGTAAGTTCACAAACCCAGATCTTTGGATTCCACTATCAACCTTTGCAAGAAGGAGAAATCGATGCGTGCCTAACGATCTCTAACGACCCGCGCTGACAAAACGGTTCCAGCATAATGATCTCGCGGCAGTGCAATTATTTGATTACGAAGGGGAATCTTTCGTACGTAATTGTGAGCAGCCAAACTTTTAATTTCGTAAACTTTCTAGTTGCGAGTGCAAAGATTTCTTTAATTCGGCAATTGAACCGTTTTATTAAGAAATGTAGTCACAGTTCCCCAAATTATTAATTGATCATTCTCGTAACTGTTAGTCTGACAGACTTTTAACAAATTTCCATTGTTTGTATGTTTTTCCTACACCAAACTACTTTATCCAACGGGGTCTGAAGAATTTGGAATGAATTTTGGATCAACCCCCCATCAACCCTAGAGAAAACTGAAAAGTACCTGCCAGCATTTTGCGACAATTTTGCATAGCCTGGAAACCTTCAAATAACTTTCGCCAACTTTGCAAAACATGCGAAAAACTCAACAGATTTGTAACACTTGCAATATATTCGAATTTCCCGCCCTAGCTTCAGACTCTTTAATTGTCCCGAGTTCATGCATGAAAGTTAATTCTTGCAGAAACTTGTGAAACGTGCAATCGCATATTCCCGCACTTTCTTTTGTATCCTACATAGCAAATTGCAAATTTTACGTCTAATTACGTTGACGCTTGACAGGATGAAAGCACCATTCTCGATTACGAAAAGTTTCTGATCTATTCTGGCTACCGTTCAACATGCACGTGCAGAACCAATTTTAACTGCACAACGTCACGTGCAAATCTAAAGGTGATTGGTCGAATCTAAGAGGATGACCACAAAGGGGATCTCAGGCTAGCAGCCGAACCCAATTTAATAGCACGATTATAGACCTAAGTGTCGATTAGCGAACCTCAATTGCCCACTTAATCGGGAAACTCACGATTCTTGATTGTTCGTTTGGGAAAATTGGGAAAATCCTTTGATTTTGGAATTCTATGCCTGCATTGTTTCGATTGTCTCCCGCCTTTGAATTCGGCTTCTATGTTTCCATTGTTGAACTCATCAAAATGCCGATCCATTGTTACACAATTGGCAACAATTCTACATATATATATATATATATATATATATATATATATATATATATATATATGGATACCCATCGAGCCGAGCAAAATCCCCCCTTCATGTACTCATTCTTCGTACATAATAAAATAGCAGTAAGTTAAGCACACAGTAAAACTCAAGTCTTCTATTTCCTTCTTCACATCACAGTTGAATCAAAAAAGTCACAAAGCAATGTAGCTCCAACCTTATGATTTTACCAAAACCCAAGCTGAAACTCGACATTACACAATTTAACTACATGTCATATGTGACATTTTTACTCTATGTCCATACTCCTTCAAGCAAAAGTTAAAAAGTCAATGTCTGCAGGCAGTGTAACTTTTCATGACAAACCCAAGTTTTGAAAAACAACATAACCTTTTCTGAAGGATGTCAACTTCAGGCAGGGTCTCAAATTTTTTTCTTATCAAATGGGGTCAATATTCTATTGTCAAAAACAAATGAAGGTCAAAGGGACTGGAGGGAAGTTGCCCTTCTGGTTAAAATGTTAAAAAGGTGCTGAAAGACATGTTATAAAAAATGCATAGTTGAAGTTTCTTTCTCAACCTATTCTTTATAAAAATAATCAAACAAAATTTGCCTGGTGCCAAGTGACAGCAACAAGGTAATGAACTGGTCCCAAGGAAAGGAACTGGCTAATGTACTTAATCAAGCTTTTTTGCTTACAAATGTCTCTCCAACAGCTTATCTTGTCACAATCTAAATTTCGTCACTCGCATTTAATTTTATCTAACAAACAAACAAGCCCATATACATAGACTTGCAAACAGGTGTTTAAAGTGAAAATAAATACTCCAGAAATAGAAGAAGATGATTCAAATTTACAGTTAACAGGCATTACCTGCACTAACGTCATCAAGCTGCGGCATTTTGAAATTAGAAGTTGAATCTTCGAGAAGGTCATCATTGTCATCTTGATCTGTGTCATCATCTTCTTCTTTGGTTGTAGAGTCATCCATAAATGAAGACAATGTGTGGTCTTCATTTCTTGACCTACTGTATGTGAACATTGCCTCTGAAAAAATGAGAATCATTATGCATTTAAAAATAAGTGACAGACAAAGACCATTTAAGCTGGGGCCTATTGAGCTTCATTTGCAGTCTTTGTAATATAAGGTGAACGCTCCCACATGCCCAAATTGTCCAAGGCATGCAAATCATTGCAAGCGGAAAACAAAGAATTTGCCATAAAAAATTTCTTAAAAATTGCTTGTGTTTTGAAGATTTCTAAAGCAGCAGTAAATAAAAGTTCCAAAATTTTAAGGCAGCTCTGTCATTTTCCAAGGTGTTAAAGTATTCCCATACAAGCTTCAACAAGGTTGTCACAAAGTAGTTCAACAAGAGCGCTTCACCAAGGGGTAGTAATCTGCAATCAATACCTGGTGCGTTCTCAAAACACTGGCTCCTATTCTTCATTAGAGAGAGCACTCAGCATCCTCAGGATATTAATGTCAGATAGCAGACTAATTTAAACTAAACATCTTTAGAAGACGACTTAACATCTTTAATGAAGAACAATAAAAGTTTCTTTGTCAATCTCCTTGGTTTCTGTTCAGTTTCGGGCACAAAAGGTCTCCTTGAAAGCAGCATCCTATAGTTTCTTTACAACAGGAATGAGAAAAGACAGATAAAAAAGCCGTTCCTATGGCACACAAAAAGTAATCAAGATGTGTCAAATGCCACACATGGCCTATTTCCACCTTACAATACAAAGACTGCATTTGCTACTTGAACTGCTTGATATCATTGAAAAATGTTCAAACTAAAAGTTGCATTTACTACTACAATTTTTTTTGTCACTTCAATAAATCTCACTCTTTAGAAAAAAAACCTTCTACAAAGAGGTAGACAAAGTCACCAATTACATTAAGGAAATAACCAGAGATATCAGGATATAGAAGATTGGGGTTTTTTCAGTGTGCTAATTACATGGTACTCAAGTACATGTTTACTAATCTCATTAATAGTGCAGAAAAGAAAGAACAAACCTGTAGCTGGTGAAATGGCATAATTCTTTAAATCATCATAAGACATGCCATATTCATCAGAAGACAGTTCTGGAGAGAAAATTATCTGAGATATATATAAGGCAAGTGCATGAAAACAAATTATGGATAGGTTCTAGAACTATAAAAAATTGAGTAAGTAAAAAAGTAAAAAATAAGAATTTCAAATATCAATTATTATATATAACATTTAGTTCAGAATTTTCATATTAAAGATCTTTAAAGCTTGCGACATTTGTGTTATCTAGACTTAGTGGTTGCAGCAAGAGCATTTTTATTGTATATATTTATACAGTTCAGTTTTTTATCATCTTAAGATTCCACTACATCAATACAATATGCTCAACAATGAAGAAGACAAAATCTGATTCAAGAAAAAAAAAGATAATATATACAAGATAAATAAAATTATAGCCAAAACATGGTCTCTGTGGTTCTTTTAAAAACTGATTAAGATTTAGATCAATCTAAACAAGAACCAAGCTACATAAGAATGAAAAATAACTTTTGCATATAAAAAGTGTGCCGTCACAGAGAAACAGTTTAGGGATATTATTTCTGATTAGCTCATTTCAATCCACAACTAGGTTTTCATTTTCTTAACTAAGGATATTGATTAATATGTAATCAACTTTATGTACTGAAAAGTGTTAGAAGAATCTATTAAAATATTTGCCTAGAAGCTATTAAAATAATTGCAATCCATGATTGGGGAATTGTATAAAAAACAAGATCAGAAGGATGATGGCAGCTAGGAAGAAGACAGAATATTCAGCTTTCTCCTTATCAAGACAAGTTATGTATAACAAGACAAGTTATGTATACATCTTTTTCTCCCTTCTGTGATATTTAGCCCAGCTAAAATTTCTTGCATGCACCTGGCATTAGGTAACCAAAAGTTAGTCATGGGTGTTCCCTTCAGATAAAATTGGTCTCCCTTATTGGAAACAGGAAGTTTTCTGGTGGTAACAAGGGAATGGCCTAAAATTTTTTTGCTTGTCCCCCCTAGAGCCTAATGGCTGCCAGATTGGAATTTTTGAAAGACGTGCAGGGGATCTGTTTCATGTCCATTAAAATTGGGCATTTCCAAATAGCACAGATAAAAGTTTTGTGCGGCTGAGACTAATTACAAAAAAAAGTATGTAACGTTTGGTTATATTTTCAGAGAAAAACAGCTGGATGAATCATTTTAATAGAAATTGCGCAGCTGCAACCATGGTTGATAGTTGATGTGCGCTGGGGGTTTATCTCTGCACAAGACAAAAATCCCATCTTGGAATGGCTGTTGCTGCTATTGGCTCATCATGAGTCAAGTAGCTTTTGACTAAAACAAGATTACATACATAATAGGTAGAAACCAATACAGATGTTTCGTTACCAGAAAATGTCCAGGATGACGTCATCTAAACATAAAATCTTCACAGACTTTTAACTTTCTTCCTTGCGCGGACAAGTTTATTTTGAGAGTTTGGGACTGGGCGCCTGGAATCACGCACATTTAGAAATTTGTAGTGTTAATAATGTAATCGCGCGGAAAGAAATTTTTGGTACGCAGGCAATATATTGCGGGCGCGCGATAAAGTTTCCAGTCTAGAAATTTTAAATAGCTTATGATTTTCAACGGTGACATACCATTTCTATTTAAATAACCCCCGTTTTTCGATAATCGCAATATCCGTAAGATTTCCAGCTTTTAAATATTCTTCATGATAAAAGTTTTGCTAATTATAACAGCAACTTTTCGCCGCGCAATCATCAAAATGTGAAAACAAATCATCTCTTACCGTCTTCATAACGCATATTTCTTACATTTCTGTGCCTTGACATTTTTGCAATTCAGATTTTGAGCTTAAACTAGCTCTTTACTTTTCTTCCAGCCGGTATTATCTCGAAAACTTTTTACAATATGCGCGCCCAACGTCATAACAGCACGCCATTTTCAAGGTTAACAACTTTCGTGTCCGAAAATTTAGGATACATCATTTCGAGGCCGCCAAGAAAAAAGTCATACGCTTCGAGAAGTAAATAAGCAAGCTTAGAAGAAAACAAATCTTTAAAGATATCAGGCTCTCTTAAAATATAGAATCCCCATAGGAAACAAACCCAAAAAATTTAGCCATTTCATACTTTAAACAATTTATCTTCGAAAAAATTTTCCTGGAGAACTGTGTCAATTTTCCAATTTTCTATAATTTTCTTTTCTATAAAATGTAGGAACGAGGCTGGTCTCGGAGCGGTTTTCAGACGGGAAGGCAAAATTAAAATGGCTGGGCGATTAACGTCAAAAGTTGTGTTCATCACCGCCGCAGCTCAGGGCATTGGCAGGGCATGCGCTGAAAGATTTGCCAAAGAAGGTGCAAGAGTTATTGCATCTGATATGAATGGAGAAAAGATCAAGGAGTTGAATGGAATCGCGGGTCAGTTATTTGTAAATCGTAGTCAAAGCACGCCCAGACAGGAAGACGCCTTCAAACTCCCCCTGCACATTACTGTCCCTTTCCTTGTGTATTCCATTATTCAGAGTTATGCTTTTCATTCTACGGTATTTGAAAGAGTACCATATCTAATATTTTAAAATCACGCATATCTTTAGCTGCATAAGTGTTAAAAGGCGGCATGCATGTGGTGTGGTGTGTGTGGTCCCTGTATGATTTTGCTACAGGCTATGAGCCTATCCAAAATTATATAAGTACAATTGTAAGTATGCTGGACCAGACTGTACAAATAGGTTATAAGTAGGTCATCTGCAAAGGGAAGATTAGAAATAAAAAAATTCAAATTTGGAGAATATGAAAGTTTAGTGAAGAATCATGCTCGGAATTTGTAGCAAAAGCTTTCAAAGTGATCTTAATTCTTTGTTTTTTATGACAGGACTTAACTATGCCTATTCTATGTAACTCTGACTTTGTGGCAGATTTCGTTTTAATGCAGGTAGAAAGAAGGATGATAATTATTATGTGGGGACCCATTTACTGGAAAGATCAAACTTTACAGCATCTGGCATGATGTGTATGCTCAAATGTACACCTTAGTTAGATGCATAGCCTTTTTCAACACATTAACTAGGCAGCATTTTTGCCACCCAGTGAAACAATTTTGCCACTTATTCAGCTGAGATTTTCACTCACTGGGTGGCAAAGGCTTCAAGGGGGAATTGCAGTTAATCAAATGTTAAAATGTATGCCTTTGAAATGTACAACTTTAAACAATTACAAGAAATGACTGCAAGAAATTTTTGTTCTCTTAGCTTGCAGGAAACCATGTCTTTCTTTGTAGCCCCAGACCCCCTAAACTTCTTGACTGCACGGCTCACAACCTAGCAAATAATATCATTGATATCATTGATATAAGATCATTTTAGCCAGGCAGTTTATAGATTATTACAAATAATGCCAGGAGGTTTCGTAAAGTTTTTAAGAACATTTACACATCTCTAGTGAAACACGCCCAAGCAAAGAAGGATAGTTACATTATGTAATACACCAGTGTAATTATGTTATATTATGTTGGTAATATTGTGTTATATTTGCCACCCAGTAGAAATTCCTTGAATAGAAAGGATATGGATGGATATCAATTTGTTGCAACCAGGATTTTCTGCACCTGACCCAACATGTCAAGTCATGTTCATGCACTAAAATCATGACAAGACAAGACACAGAGTAGGACATCAAAAATTTATTCTTTAATCTCAGAGTGATTTGCCTCAGTTGAAATGCCAGTTCTACAAATAACATTCAGTCCACTGGAATTCAGGCATGACAGCACAAGCTGTGGTGATAATTGATAAAAGCGTCCCCTCTTTTAACTCGGGTCATTCACTTATAAGGCTCTCCAATATCCTAATGTTGTAGGACAGGCAAGGAAAATGACTGTAAATTCAGGAAATTTGGAATTTTTTTCATCATTTAGAAGAGTTTTGTTGCAAGTTGTTAAAATGAAAAATTATGATGCACAGTCCATAGTATAGCCATGCTGAAATGCCTTTATGACTTAGGCTATAGCAGGCCTGGCCATTTGACAAGAGCCATAGCTCTTGCTCCCCTTTAGGCTCTTCTCAAATGCTCGAGGGAAGCTACAGATTGCTCTCCTTGAAATAAATTTTTCCTTTGTTTATTTTAATATCTATCTACAAACAACTCACCTGAAAATTTCAAAGAGAGCTGTTTGCCAGGCCTGCTATAGTCGTATATATGTGAGTGTCTTTGTTAACAATTCAAACGCCTCTTCTTTGCAGGTCCTATCTGACAATGGCTTGATAGATTAATGAAAATGTCAAAAAGGGACTAGAAAGATTTTATGAACTACTATATGACATGGATCAGTATATATATTTAACAAAATTTAGCATACTCAAGTTTTGGTTTTTCTGAAAATACTCATTCTGAGATGTAAAATCAAATAAAAATAAGATAACTAAGATAGCCTATCTAAAATCCCTTGATTTACCTCTTTTTTGCATCCCAATTCTCGGTAGAATGGACTCTGTTGACTCATTTGCCTCGTCAAGGCTTGCTCTTGTCAAAGGTGGTCTTGTTTTGGACAACAGAACTTGTCCCACCGAGAATCAAGATGCAAAAAGGGAGGTAAATCGAGGGGTTTTAGTTAGGCTATCTTAGTTCTCTCATTATATCTTGGTAAAATCTATCTTTCTAAATTTTAAGGGATTGAGACACACACGCTCAATGTCACAAACAGAGCTGAAATTGAAAAACTTGCAGCAACTTTGCCAAAGGTTGATGTCTTATTAAATATTGCGGGGATGGTCTATGCAGGAAGCATCCTAGAGAGTACAGAACAACAATGGGACAAAATATTTGATGTCAATGTTAAGAGCATGTTCCACACATGCCAAGTCTTTTTACCAAAGATGCTAGCGGCCAAGAATGGTGTTATCATAAACATGGCATCAGTTGCATCCAGTCACAGTGGTGTGCCAAACAGATGCATTTATAGTTCAACCAAAGGGGCTGTTATAGGCTTAACAAAAAGTATGGCTGCTGACTTTGTTAAGGATGGCATCAGAGTAAACTGCATTTGCCCAGGTATAAACTCTTCTTGTTTTGGGAGTACTATACTGGTATGGAAATAATCAAGTTATTTAGCAATTTTTTGCAGATACAAACCAGATCATTTCTTCTAACCAATAAAAAATATGACACATTATGATAGAAACAGAGATGAATGACAAAACGATATAATGCCTTGCAAGAATTCAAGAAAGCTTAGTACATAAAGTGGCTGTTGTATAATCAATATTCTTAAACTGAAATTACTATTTGCTGGTCTGTGATAAAGTACTCGGGGCCATAGGTACATGGGCACAGCTGTCCATGCTATTTGCCATGTAGAACAGGACAGTTCTAAGTTGCTACTCCAAGTTATACTCTTTAGGATCATAAGGCAATCAAGCTTCTGTTTATTTTGACTTTCCCATGTTTTGTAATAGACAGAATTTGAAATGTTATCTGCATGTTATCTGTCAACTGACTTTTTTGGTCTAAAGTTCTGCATGCTCATAGAGGTATACTTACACATCATCTGTGGATACCTTGTAGCACTAGTGTGCCAGTCATGCTCCGGCATATGTTTGAAGGTCCTGTCTTAAGCAAGAGTTTTTTCTTTGAAGGGACAATAGACACACCATCATTAAATGAAAGATTTGCAGCCACTGGGGATGCTGCTGCAGTTAAGAAGCAATACATTGAGACCCGTCAGAAGAGTGGCAGATTAGGAAAACCAGAGGAAATTGCTGCTTTGGCTGTTTACTTAGCAACAGATGAGGCAGAATTTGTTACAGGGCAAAAATATATAATTGATGGAGGCTGGACAATGTAGATTCAAGGGAATATCATCTGGGTAAATAGTGTTTTGATGCTGGTTTTAAGAAACAATTATTTGCATATTTTTATATTTTTATGAAGTAATGAATAGGAAATAGTTTAATTTTGATGAGATTTTGGCATATCAATAAGATGAAATGAAACTTAATATAAAAAATGATTTCATGACTATTTTCTTCTCTTCGCCTCTCAAATAAGCTAAACAGAATGCACTGGTCAAACAATTGGTCAATTTTTGTGCATTCATTTTCACCTGACCCAAATATAGTGTGATTTGGCCGTAATTAAACATTTACTTGAGAATTTAATGCAAGTTACTGTTAACGGGTCTGTCATTATGTGGTCGATACCGTATAGGCAGAGCTGTACACACTATTTGGTGTATAGAGCAAGACGGTTCTAAGTTGCTACTCCGAGTTTCAAGCTTGATGCGATCATCAGGCAACTCTTGAGAATCTATAGTGCGCCTAAACGGCATCACATGCAAGACGTCTTCTCATTCAGGCGTTTTGAAATCTGTCGACATTATGACAAAATTCATGACTTGTGCCAACAGAAAGATTTGCTTCTTCTGCTCTTCACAAATATACGGGGGGATAACGATTGCTTGAAAAATGGGATCGATTTAACGCGCTACTCTTCTCAAATAACTTTATCTCATTGTAGATCAAACTTCACGTAAAATTTTCAGTAAAAAAGGCGTGGCCTAAAAACATTCATTTTGCCTCCGCCCAAAACTGTTCGAAGGTTTGGCACCATCATTGTCCTAAGCTATAATTTTCGTAAGTTGTTGTGTGTAGTTGCGCTGCGATGCTGCTTATTTAACAAGAAAAGAACTGCGGCATCGTGTGTTGAATTACAAAAGGACTTGTCACCTTATTGTTGAATTATCGTCAATGAACCTTTAGAATACTTTGTTTCATGTTTCTAAGGTGTTTTAGAACGTTGTTTGTTTTGCCTTGATGTGATTCAGTTTTTAAAAGTTGGATGTGAATATTATTAAATTGAGTTCACTGCTTTCCGATGTTTTATTACTGTGATCTCGACTTGAACGCAAACGGATCACTGGAGTATTTAGAAAATTCCTCACAGATACAACAGGAGTTAATTGGCGCAGTCAGTAGGATGCTATCATCATTTTACAAACAACTCACCTAAGAAAATCAACAGGTCGTATTCCACTTTTTTTATACAGCTTCAATAATCCGGTAAGCACGGTATTAGATTTTATTCACGTTCGATTTTAAGCGAAGCTATTATCAACATGTCGGAAACTGCAAAATTAATCGAATTAATGCAATTGCAAATTGCAAATCAGCAAAAACAAATGGAAGCTCAAGCGGCAGCTCATCAAGAACAAATGAAGGCTCTTCTCCATACAATGTCTTTTTCAGAATCAGGAACTGCACGTTTTACTTCTACATTACCTTCAGTACCTGTTTTCGAACCATTTGATTCTACAAGTGAATTGTGGCCTGACTACTACGATAGATTTTTGACATTTTTTGGTGCACATAATGTTAATGACGATAGAAAGGCTCAAATTTTCCTAATTAATCAATCTAAGGATGTTTACCGGTTACTGGGAAATTTGGCAAAACAGCAGAATCCATCCAAGCAAATTAATGATCTTAGCATGGATGAAATTGTAAATTTCATGAAGACGCAATATGACCCCAAACGATTTGTTGTACACGAACGCTTCAAGTTTTGGAGTGATATGCGCAGAAAGCCAGGTGAAACGCTACAGGAGCTTGCGGCACGTATTCGCCAAGATGCTGCCACCTGTGGTTTTGCATCCATCAAGGATCCTCAGGATGAAGCACTCAGATCTCGTTTTATTTGTTCTGTAAACAATGAGGCAGTGCTTAAAGCCCTTTTTAAGGTCAAGGACGACGAACTGGATTTTGCTAGGGCTATTGAAATTGCCACAGAAACAGAGGATGCAGCTAAAGTGGCTAAAGACACGGTTTATGGGGTTAGGCCAAAATCCGTACACAAGGTCGCTCTACGGCCCTCTAACAAAGCAATGGAAACCAAGTCCAAGACAGGCAAATCAGCTTGTTACCGCTGTGGTGTTGAAACCCACCAAGCACCACAATGCCGTTTCAAGGACTCAGAATGCCACTTCTGCGGAATTAAAGGACACATCTCGAAGGTATGCAGAAAGAAAAATTCTGCAACTATTAAAAGCTCAAAGACGCCGGTAAAACTCATCCATGAAATCAAAGCAGTGAATGAAAGATCCTTGCCAAAGCTGGAAGTACCTATCAAGATCCAAGGGCAAACATGCACAATGGAACTGGATACTGCAACGAATGGGAACTTCATTTCAAAGCAGACATGGAAGGATTTGGGAAGTCCAAATCTTCAGAAGCCTGATTTACACTATGAATCAGCAAGTAAACATAGTTTACCAATCATTGGTACGTTCGTCGCCAAAACGTCAACACAGGAGTCAGAAGAGACACGTGATATCAAGTATACAGTGTCAGAAATCCCAGAACTTAACCTATTGGGACGAACTGCTACTAAGGAGCTGGGCATCTCTGTAGACCAAGCACTCAACGATGTCGAATCATGTCATGCAGTCTTTAGCAATCTAAAGGCCGACATCAAACTACAGGAGAAATGCAAGAAATTGTGCAATGAATTTAAAGATTTATGGAAACCGGAATTAGGATGCCTCAAGGACTATGAACTCGAGGTAAAGTTTAAGCCCAATGTCCAGCCTATCTTCAGGAAAGCACGGCCAGTTCCATTTGCCATGGAAGCTGATTTGGAAGAAGAATACCAGAAGGGTATAACAAAAGGAGTATGGGAAGCCACACAATTTTGTCAATTTGGGACTCCAGTGGTTCCTATCAAGAAGGCTGTGCTCCCAGGACAAAATAAACCCAAGATCAGAGTCTGTGGGGATTATTCTGTCACAGTCAACCATCAACTGGAGGAACATCGACACCCGCTTCCTCTCCCCGAAGATCTTATGAGAAGATTGGGAGGAGGATATGGATTCACCAAAATTGACTTGGCAGATGCATATAACCAAATCAAGCTTGCGCCGGAAAGTCAACGAAGACTAGCACTTAGCACTCATAAGGGAGTGCTTTTGCAGAAAAGACTTCCATTTGGTATCAAATCTGCCCCCGGATACTTTCAACAGATCATGGATCAGCTCACTGTAGACCTTCCTGGTGTGGCTACCTATCTGGATGACATCCTTGTAAGCGGTATTGATGCTGAGGACCACCTGAGCAATCTTCGGCGTTTGCTCCAAAGACTGCAAGACAAAGGTCTCCGTTGTCGACAGGAAAAATGTCACTTTGCCCAGCCATATGTTGAGTATTTGGGACATCTACTGTCACAACAAGGAATCGCAAAAGGTCCTAAGGTAGATGCTGTTCTTAAAATGACAGCTCCTACAAACGTTTCAAGTCTTAAAGCTTTCTTAGGATCTGTCCAGTTCTATGCCAAATTCCTACCATCAGAACTAGCTACAATAGCAGAGCCTTTGTACAAGCTGACAAAGAAGACGGTCAAGTGGAAATGGCAACAAGAACACCAAAAGTCTTTCCAACGTCTGAAAGACTTGCTTTCTTCAGAGAATGTCCTGGTTCATTTTGAAGAGAAACACATCCTAGGTCTGGCATGCGACGCTTCAA